TCATTGCTTTTATGTGGGAGATTTTGAATAAATAGCCTTCCTATCTTTTTACATTCTTCCAACATTCAAGGGCAAGGGGACTGTGGACGGAATCAGTGTAACTGCTGTTCTCTGCCATCCCATGCATTTGATTTTATGCATTTAAAAGGCATGATTCTGAGCTGTAGGCTTCACTTGTTGGGAAAGGGGTCTGGGTTGTCCAAAAGGAAAATATCACCTTGAACCTTGGCTTCCAGGCTGTGGATCAGGATTCCTTCCCTGACAGTGTGCATGATTTGCTTCCTGAGGCCCCTGTTGGTGTGAGAATAAACACATTCTCTTTCTCCCTTCCTCTGGACACACGCTCCCTTCAGCTCCTTTCAGGTAGGGGCCCATGGGAGTAGCTCTGCTATTCCAGGCCTTCTTCCTCCACTTGTCTAATTAAGGGGACCTCTCTCTAAGCCACACAGAGCAGGTGTTGTCTCTGGTGAGCACTCTGGACTGAGGCAGGCTTGTCTCCCACAAAGCAGAAGAAGCTAATCTAAGTGAGGGGGGTGCTGGCTGCATGGTCCAGCTGTGGTCCTGTCCTCAGGCAACATGGTTACTCATGGCTCCTCTGTCTGTCTCTCTCCTAGCTGAAATCCCCCAGAGACTGGTACAAGGTGGGTGTAGCTGGCAGTTGGGAGTAAGTGACTGTACAGACATGGGCAAACCACGAGAGACCACACAGGCCCAGAGGAGAGAGAGTGATTGCTCTCTATGGAGGTGTCAGCCACTGCCTGGGGTGGAAAGTGGCATCCAAAGTGGTTCTTTCTGTATGCCAACAGAGGGAAGCCACAGGTAGGTGGTGGCTGAGACTGGAGAAGTCAGAAGAAACTGGGCTAAAAGAGGCTGACTTACAATAGAACCTGCAGTCAAAGCCAGGATCCTCATTATGGCCAGGACCTCGTGCAGGAGGCCATTGTGAAGTCAGTGTATGGAAGCCTGTGATCCAGCCCATCACACCCCTTTCTTGAGAGGCCACTCAGGAAGGAGTAAAGTTCCCCACCATGCTCAGCAGCCATCCTTACACTGCCCTCGGCCTTCTTTAGCCTGACTTCCCTCCCCTGCTCTGTCTTTGACCAGCTCTGTTCTTCAGGCAGCTCCTTCTTCGTCCTTGGGGGGTCTCCCCTCCTTGTGCTCATCCCTGAGAAGCCAGTGGTCTCCCATTGCCTGTTTCTTGTCACCTCCTTAATCATTATCCACCCTAGACACCCCGAATCTTTTCTTGTGCCTTCAGGAACCACTTAGAGTTGGGTGTCCCCCAACTTCCACTTTCTATCACTCCTGACTCAATTGTTCAACTGATGTCCTTTCTCAGAGTTACCCACGGACACTTCAGACCTAGAGACACCCTTAAATCAGACTTTTCTTTCCACAACCCACTATGGACACCCTTATAATGTTGACATAGTGCAGTCCCCCATGAGGAACTGAGTCCAATTTCCTCATAGGCATTAACGTAATGATTGTTCTGTCTCTCTCTTTTTTTTAAAATTTATTTATTTATTTATTATGTATATAATATTCTGTCTGTGTGTATGCCTGCAGGCCAGAAGAGGGCACCAGACCCCATTACGGATGGTTGTGAGCTACCATGTGGTTGCTGGGAATTGAACTCAGGACCTTTGGAATAAGGCTCTTAACCTCTGAGCCATCTCTCCAGCCTCTATTCTGTCTCTTTAAGAGACAAGCCACGCCCACTCCCTCCCCCATCCTCTGAGGCAGGCAGGTCTTCCTTCCCGCTTGTAGCCTTAATCTCGTTCTCTTTTCTGTCTCCCTCTCAGAGAGGCAGCTTCTGTCTTTCCCTTCTCTTCTCTCTCTCTCTCCCCCCACCTCTGCTCTTCTCCCCTTCTCCCTCTTCCCTTCCATAACCATTAAATAAATATCCAACTCCACTCTGCATGGCGTGCCTATCTGTCTGTCTCTTGCCCACCACTGCCACCACCACGTGGCTCGCTGCCCCGGGACCAGCCACCTTCAGAGACCTGCGCATAGTCTCATGTGCAGTCCCTGCCTAGGACGGGCTGCTCTCGGGACCCGCTGCCCCCTGCCTGCCACCACATGGCTTGCTGCCTGCTGCCGCTTGGGGACCTGCAGCGTTTCTGCTGCTGCCAGGGATCCTGCAACATTTTTAATAATCCATCACAATAAGGAAGGGACTGAGAATGTTGCTCACTTGACAGTGCTTGTCTAGCATAAGAGAAGCTCTAGATTTGATCCCCAGCACTGTCTGAATTGTGTCACACTTGCCTGCAGTTCCATCATTTGGTAGGTGGAGGCAGGCAGACCAAAAGTTCAGTCGTTCATTGGCTGCATAGTGAATCAGAGGCCAGCTTGGGCTATATGAGATCCTATTTAGAAATTGCAGATATTCCTGGGCAAGGCAGGAATGAGCCACTCCACTACCTCTTCAGTGTCATGGTATGATCAGGACCCAGGAGGGAGTACTGCTTCTCTCCCCTGACCTCTGGGTCTCCTGGGACTGGGCAGTAAATGTTGACCAGATTGATTCACACCACCCTTGGAAGTCAGTGGTCAGCTGCTGACCACACTGTCAATTATTCAGGCTCCCGGGGATTGCACAGAGAGCATAGAAAGTTTAACTAAAGCGTGGCTCCATTATCCTCCCCTCAGAGGCATGGGCAGGGTGGATAGCCAGTACCTCCCTGGATAGCCATAAGCACACAAACCTGGGGTCCCAATCCTATCCCTACACCCACACCCAGAATTCAGTTCACATATTGTTCTCAAATCCCTCCAGGCCTTCCCGAACCAGGAGACTGCATCCCAAGGGCAGGACTGGCCACTGGAGTCACCTGAAGTGAGTTTCAGTTCTGTTCCAATGGTTCAGGCTTTTCTTGTCACTGTGGGGAGCTGTAAGCCCCGAGACCACATGGGCAGGAGAGTCACTCTACAGAAAGGAGTTCCTTTGGGAACAAAGCTTTGATGGCAGAAGCCATCTCGAGGCCTCAGGTCTCTTTTGGAACAAGATGATTGAGAATGAAGCTGTGTTCATGAAATAGCTGCTCATTGTGTACCCGGCACTTTCACGGTTCCTCATGGTGCAATGAGAAGACTGATTTCTGCCCTTGAAGAAATCCTAACCAAGCATTAATAATAGACATGATGGTAAGTTGGGGACAATTCTAACCTCCACATGCCTCCACATACATTACTCCCCTAACACTCAGCGAGGTGTCTGCTGGTGGCATCTCAGTCACTCAGCCAAGGGCAGTTTTTACAGATGAGGCATGAAACACATTCTGTATAAACAATGGGACTTCAAGTCCCCACTGTCAACGTTTGGTTTAAAGTCCTGGGATGGAGGTGGACATTAGGTGGATGGTTATCTAAGAGGATGTGGAGCTGTGGAGCAAAGACTAGAGGTAATTTAACAGGAGGGGCCAGTCTGTCCAGGATGAATGATGTGGAGGGTGTCAGAGAAGACCTTTTTTTTTTTTAAATATTTATTTATTATGTATACAATATTCTGCAGGCCAGAAGAATGCACCTCATTACAGATGGTTGTGAGCCACCATGTGGTTGCCGGGAATTGAACTCAGGACCTTTGGAAGAGCAGGCAATGCTCTTAACCACTGAGCCATCTCTCCAGCCCCCCAGAGAAGACCTTTTTGAAGGGTCATACTTTTCAGAAAAGGAGATCCTGAGGAAAGCCCCTTCTGAGCCTGGAAAAGGATTGGGTAGGGGTAAGAACAGCTGAGCCTGAGCCTCCCCTGGTCCCTTGATTCCCACTTCCTCTTTGTTGCTGGATTTGTGAATTTTAGTTTTCAAAGTCAAAAGATGGGCTAGCAGGGTCTGGGCCTTCTTGTTGAACTGTCTCCCCTGTGATTATCTCTGTCATGGTCTCCCCACCCCGGAAGTAGCACTGGAAGCCGGGTCCCTTCTCTGCTCTGGTTATCCTTTCTCTGTTCTCCTAACTGCTTGAATCCGTTCCACTGCAGTAGCCCCTGTGGTCCTAGACACTGGAACAGGTACTGGAGAGCTATCGGAGGATGCCCGACACAAGGGCTTTCCGTGTGGTCTATACTGAATTTATAGGTAAAGGTGTATGATTCCAAGTGCAAACCAGGACATGTCTGGTGTGAAAGGATACTACTAATTACGAATTATTAATTCTGTCAACAGCACAGTGCAAGGCCAGGCAAACATAGTCATGCTCATTCAAACTCAATAGAAGAATAGAAAAATGTGCAGGTTTGACAGTTTGATGTCAGGTAGAGTTGTGGCCACTCTGACAGCAAATTTAGGGAAGATCTTGTGGTGATAATAGCCTAGATCATGAATTTCAATGTCCCAATCCTGAGCAATGAGGAGGAGAGTCCTAGTAGGGACATGGATGATTTGAAACAACGAGAGCAGGAAAGCAAAAGTTTTGAGGCTTTGCCATTCTGTGTCCACAACCATCATTACTAATTGATCACAGCATCCTCATTTCTACTTAGCCCTAATTCAAGCTCCCAGCCTTCAGTATAGTGCTCTGGGATCCAAGACTGGCAAGTATTATCAACTGAGGCCTAGATATAGATTCAGGGGAGACTAAATCTGAGGCCATATCTCCCAATGTGGTCAGAAGCCTAGAATTTTTCAAAAAGATGTTTCTGGTGTGGGTGGTTAGGCTAGGCTGACTACTGAGCAAGCTCCAGGGATCCTCCTGCCTCTTTCTGCCTCCCTAGTGTTGGGATTACAAGCACGTCACCATTCCCAGCTTCTTACATGGACTCAGGGATCAAATTTAGGTTTTCAAGCTTGTGTGGCACACAGTTTATCAACAGAGTGATTTTCTCAGCCTTTAGGTGAAGAAGGATGCTTAAAAGAAATCCTACACTAGCTCAGAATTGAGAAATAGATGGTTATTTATTGAGGGGTGGACTCACAAATCAGAATCCTTTGCTTGAACAGGGATCAGAAACCGAAATCTGCAACCGGAACAGAGAGGCCGGAAAAGAAGCCTGACGCACGCTCTATATCCGCAAATATAGTCTAAGAGGCCACGCCCCAGTGGGCGGGTAACCACTGGCTGTAAGACTTCCTACAGCATTTAGGAGCCTGGAATTTGAGAGGAGTGATCTGTACACCTTTTTCTAGGTAATAGGAAGCCACTGGAGGATGTGAAGGGGTAGTGAACCGAGTGTTATGAAACTGCGGAGTAGAGACTGGAGCAGAGAAATCAGCGAGGAGCATTCTTGTACCTAGGTGCCAAAGGCTCAGGTGACCAAGAAGATGTGGAAAAGAGGAGAACGTGCAAGGGTGACTCAAACTTTCTGGGGTTTGTCTATGTTTTTTTATTCATTTTGTTTTTGAGACAGGCTTTGAACTGCTGAGCCTCCTGTCTCCACCACCCGAGTGCTGATGTTACAGATATGCACCGCCGCACCCAATAAGTTGCTGGGGACCAAACCCATATCTTGTGAATGCCAGAGAGGCACCCAACCAATTGGGCTACAAACCCAGTCCAGTTTTTGGGAAGATGCCGTGGGCTAGGCAGGCATCATACGTTGGATATCCTGATAGGAGCCTTCAGCCTGGGGACCCACCACACAGAGACTCTGCCCACAAGGAAAGGTAGGTCAAACTGCTTTAGTGGGATTGACCAACAAGGCTGAGAGCCTGGAAAATTCTGCAGAGGAGATTAACTTTCTGAAATTCCTTTTCCACTCTTAGGCCTCCTCAAAGGAGGGCATTGCCCAAGTGGGCATCTTCCCTCAACTGAAAAATAGAAAAAGTATACCCAGGGGCTACTGAGCTCTTGGTAGTGTGTGAGGTGACCTTGAGAGGAGGAAGGCTAATATGTCATTCATTCCCTGGTGAGATGCCACCCACCCTAGAGTCACCAGAAGGGAAGTCATGGTGAGGCAGCGCTAGTTTCAGGTCCTTGGGTCCTGGATCCTAGGAAGGAATGAGATTGGGAGCAGTGGCTTTGGAGGGCAGCAAGGCTTAAAAGCTTCAGGCTTGCAGGTTCCCTCTCTTGGAGGGAGTGGCTGAGGGGCCAGCTGAGGGTTAACTGGAAGGAAGGTGTTGCTGGCCTAGAGAGGAACCCCAACGACCTGAGGAGGGCTGAGAATACAATCCTTGGCCAGGACCTTGGAAATTTCCACCTGTGTCCTTCATCGGTCCACCAGGGCTTGAGCTGAACCTATCATAGCCTAACTTAGAGCCTGGAAATCAGAAGGAAAAGAGATTTCCATCTGATTCCGGAGGATAGATATGTGTGCATGTGCGTGTACGTGTGGGTGTGGGTGGTGTCACACACAAAGCTTAACACAACCAAACCTTAAGCAAAATGATTGCCTTTATAATCACAAGTGTCTGAAAGTCTTCTAGTGTCCAAAGGTATCATTGGAGGTCCCTAGTGCCTGCTCGTAGGAGCTGTGACAGAGACCACCTGTCGGCTGAGCCATGTGGGGTGCCACTCCATAAACTGTCTGCCGCAGAAACACAGAACATGATAGGACTGCTAGAAATAAGATGGAAAGAGGCTACGTGGAGTGGTGTGAGGAGTGACCTGGCACTGCCTGGCCATGCGTCCTCACCTACAAGGTCTGGAGCACCATAGCTATAGGGCTAGACTGTGGGCAATATGAGTCACAGTGATGTTGGTTGGTTTGGGGGCCTAGTTCCATACTAGTCCCCTGGATGTTGTGAGGTGTGTGAAGGCCTCTCCTTCCAAGATCAAACATAACTCTTAGAACCCATCAACATGAGAGTGCTGGAAGCACTGCTGTTCTGGTGGAAGGGGCAGGGCAGCAAGCCTGTGCCCAGGCCTGACCACCTCCTCTTGGCACAATAGGGAGGCAGAGCAGAGCGGAGTCCATGTGGTTGTAAAGGAAGCAGAACCACAGAGTGGCATCAGTTAATGGTCAGATGCCTGAGGAATCCTGAGGAACATGTCTGCAAGCTCTGAGTCCTGAGGACCATCCTCGCCAGAAGG